TGTATTTTACTCAGACAAGTAGTAGGGCAGCCCAAGTAGGAAGGCAGCAAAGAGAATGTTTTTCAGAGGTATAATTAACAAGTCCTGCCTACTTCCAACATTCAGTATACATAGAAGGAGGATCCCAGAAGGGCAACTGGAACCTATGGCTCACTTACCTACTCAGAAAAAAGAAGGTGACTTCAGTGGTTGCAGGTGAGGGAGTCAGGTAAAGGTGATGGGTTTTGTTCCCTAAGTTGGTTATATCTCATCACTGTAGTCTGCCACTTATCCTCTTTGACTCTGATTATGGGATGGAGAATATATATTTTATCTGGTTGATAGATGATAAAGCACTATGTTCACTAAACCTCCTTTTAAAACTTTGGGTTTAGAATGTTTCATAGGTAGGGTGAGAAACAGCCATTTAACAGTACTCCATGAATTTAATTGCCTTGGGAGAATTTTTGAAAAATGCATTGACAGATATACCCAAGTACTTTTAATATGGACACCACCCTCCAATTCTACAATAATTGGCTCTTAGCGTATTCCTCTTTTTTTGCCCATGGAGAAACTGGAGCTAGGAATATGGCTGCTGAAAATGGGAGAAAGGGAGAGGTACCCAGAAATGTCCACAGGCCACAAGTGCAAATTCACAATTCCAAAGCCGTACACATACCAAAACATTTAATCAGGTAAACAAAACCATTCTAAATACTTTTACTTATTTATAAATACTGATTTATAATAATACTAAACATTTTTCTTACCTCCAAAAAACATCATTCAAAAACTTTTTAAGTTAAATATATTTCAGGATTAGCTTGGGTTTTTCTTTTTTTGAAGTTTATTTTACCCACTTCTGAATCTAGGTGTCCATTATCAACACAGCACAGGACTGTCCCCTAAGTGTGTCCACATCACTGATTTGCAGACCTGTTTTCAGGCACACAGGCTTTCTGCCACTCTCAGTGCAGTCTTGTCTGCCAAGGCCTTGTGATTCCCTGGGGACTGTCTTTTCTTCTGGGAGGGCTGACTTGCTGTGATTTGTGGCATTTCAAAATGGCGGTATCAAAACAGAAGTGGCTACTAATTCCCAAGCCACTGCTCAGGAACATGCTTTCTGAGAAAATTAACACAGCTGTGTGTATTATGTTCTAAATATAACACCGATCAAAATTGTATGGATTCCTGTTTGTGCTTTGAATTCTTTCCCATCACTTTTGTTGAGCCTTTGCTTTTTTCAGGCCTAGTTCCTTGGTTGATTTTAGTTTTACCTATCTAATTAAAGCCCAACTGTCCTGATAACAAAGACTTTTACCAGTTCCTCATCCTTTCTCTACAAAGCAGCTTCTTCCTTCTCACTGTTCCATGATGAAGACCTGAAGCCTGACTCTAGCTTAACTCACTTTGCAACCTTTGACAGTTCTACTTGGTCTTCCTTGGATTCTCTGTGTCTCCTTTTCCTTATCTACAAGACAGTACTTGTCTGCCCCTTTTATTCATTTATGGCTGGTTATAGCCACGTGTGTCAGATGAAGACTGACTTCCCCCACTCTTTCACAGGCTTCCTCTGGGGTTCTGCATACACTGCAGGTAGAAGTGTAGCTATCAGTCCCTACCCTGCCTCTCCTCCCTCAGAGGCTTGGAAATCTAAAGATTCTGTGAGCCAAGAGCCACCACCAGTTACTGTCATTGCTGGACAGAGCTGTCCTCAGCATCTAAAGGCACTTCTCTGAGAGTATGGGTTAAAGGAAAGTCAAGGCTGAATTTGGCTGGAGAAGAGGCTCAAGTGGCAGAGGGCTTGCTTTGCAAGTGCAAGGCCCTGAGTTCAAACCCCAGTAATGGAAAGGAAAAAAAAAAAAAGATTGAATTTATGTTGTAATTTGGGACTCCATACTTAATGCTTATAGCTATTCAGGGCAGTGTAAAAATAGTTCATCTTTGTGGAAACTGGCCATTAGCTTAGAGGAAAGACATTCTTAATAGACAAGCTCATTTTGTACTCCTGCACACCTCTTTTGCTCCAAATGCTACTCAGCCTTTCCTCCCTCCTCCCCACTGCTTTGCCTTCCTCCCTACATCCTGTTTCCCAGAAGTCTTTTTGAGTTGCACAGTAAATAATTCCCATGGCAACAACCCTCAACATTTCTAATTGAGGATAACTTAGCAAGAGTCATAGAGGTCTCTTTAAAACCGAAATGATTCAGCCACCTTACAGTTACACTAAGAAAAAGTACTGGCTCAGCTCTACCTATGCCACAGGTACTGTACTGGATGCTTGCAAGTGCTTCCTATAATCTATACAATTGCCCTGTGAGGGAGCTTCCCTGAATCCTGTGTCCTCACCTAGAAATAGGTTACCAAACTTCATTTTACAGATGAGGAAACTGAGTTGCAGAAATCCTGAGTAACTTGCCTAAGAACACCCAGCTAATAAGCTGCTGCATGGAATCTGAACTCTTACAACCATACATACTGCCTCCCCTCTGCACTGCAGGGAGGTGAGAGAGAGCATCTGGAAGTACCTAAGCAGTGCCTGGCTCATAATAGACTCTCACATATCAGGTCAGGCACATGCTTGTTTGCCTTCTCTTATATAGCCACATCACCCTCACTATTCCTTCCAGACAAAAGACAGGGTTCAGGGCTAAACACTTTTTATATGAGTGTATCATGTCCATCCAGAGACCTGTCTCTAATTTGCAGTCATTTATCTCAGGGGCACCTTGTCAGTTTGAAAAATATTCACAGTTACATCCAAACAGACTAACATGATCTCTCATTGTATCTTACCCTGACCCAAACTACCTTGGCCTATTATAAATACTAATCTCACTGGTTGCTTAATTCTTTCAAGAAAGACTACACAGCAGCTGTGCAAATGAGAATCAAAGAACATTAGCACCAGCTGGCCATAGTCTTAACACTCCTTAAACCTTCAGGGGCACCTAAGTACAGGCAAATCTTTGAAACCAGATTTGGGGGTGGGGGGGGGTTACACGTGTAAACAGGCTAGCTGGATGAGTCACACCTGCCAAAGCCCAAGGATTGCAGTCATGTTGGAGTTCAGAGCCAGAGCTTTGCCAGCAGCCAGCCAATAACAAACCTACAAGTTGATCCTTTGCTCTTCACAGCCATGCTGCTGCCACCTAGTGTCTAAAATGCTGAGCTCCAGTCTTGCTGCCTGGCCAGGGAAAAGGACAGTTGCTGACCTATATGCGCTGTAGCCGGGGACCCAATGCCTTGGATCACAACATCCCCTACAGCTGGTATCGGAGCATAGCAAATGGACCAAGTCAGGGAGAAATCTTGGTCAAAGAGGCAGAGATGGGCACAGACCTAAAAGCGGTCCTAAGAAAACCAGAAGATACAGGACTGAGGTATTTAAGCAAATGAGTGGCCACTGTCCATGAGTCCCTTTAGGAAGGCCTCAGGCCTCCCACTGCACAGCAGTCTTCAGCTAACCAGCCTGGGTTTAGTTGGGGGTGCTAAGCTTCTGCAAGAAAGGCAGATATCCTCAAAGAGGCCTCTCAGGAACTTCAGAATATGTGGGAGTCCCTTTCCCTTCTTCCCCCACAACCATTTCACTCTCTCTAGCTCAACTGGGCAAATTTGAATCCCTGAATATGTAAAATATGGTTCTAACTACCAAACATCCTCCAAGACTCAGCACAAACTGTCATCTGCTTCATGGACTACCTCTAATCCCTTAATTGGAAATTCTCACCTCCCACTGGAGCCACAGTTATTTTTTAAAATCACTGCCTGACTTTGCTCTGTATTAGCATCAGTATCTCCCAGTATCTCTCCCTAAATTAAGAGTGAAAACACTTCAGTGTTAATGCCCCTAGAGCCTTGGTTGGGGTTTGCACACAGTGGACCTGCAGCATGTGGTAGATGAATGTACCTCAGTAAGAAAAAGGAAGTAGTGAAATGTGGCATTTCTAGGTTAGTTTACATTAAATGCTATTATTTCTCAGCTAATCTGGGGTTGGCCAGTGGGAATTAGGGGTCATAGGATCCTTTCCCACACAGCCCCACCTAGTGCAGTCAGGGGAGCATTCTCCAATGTTTGGGTCCCAAGCCAATTTACTGCACTCAAAAATACCTAACCAATGACCCATCCCAGAGGTCAAGGTTTCTGCCCTGCTCCACCTCTGTGCATAAAAATCGGGATAATGGCCCCTTCAGAAATTGAACAAGTACTAGAAAAACATATATACAGAAAATACATAGAAAGTGTAAGCTATCCTCAGACCTAGAAATGTTGCCCAGTGGTGACAGCAGAAGCCACAGGTATACCTGTTCTCTACCTCTTGCTCCCAATCCAGAGCCCTGGCCAGTCCCTGGCATGCAACTGACATACAACAGGTGCTTATGAGATCAGTCAGTACAAAAACAGCAGACCCCAGCCTCATAAAAGGCCTTTTGTAAACTGCATGCTAGTGACCACACAGCAAAAAGATGCTGCCTTGCCAGGAGTTGGGTAGATCCCAGAGAAAACAAATGTAAGATAATCCACTTTTTGGAATAGCTGCCTAGCAGCAGACATGGCAAGTTCTCCATGGCATTGATCTCCTGCTAACCAAGGCAGGGAGAATCCTGCATTAGCTTACTTGACTACCCAGGCTGAAGGGCGGCATGGGAAGAGATTCAGTGGCTTCCCAAATCACAGAAGCCATCCAAGCCCACACTTCAACTCCAACAGGGGAGGAGAGAGGCCTAACCATACAAATTCCACAACTGCTGTTTCACTTGCGTCTCAGAGGCAGCACCCTCTTCCTCTACTTAGGCATCTTGTGTCTCAGTTGTTGGCATTTGATCAGGACTGTGCTCCTAAAAGCCAAGTCTCAAAATGACACAAGCAAGCACCCGGTGAGCTGGTAGTACATCACATCCCTATTCAGAACACCCTGTAAAGTATAAAAATGCAGGCCCATGAATCCACTTTTTTTTTCCTATCCATAATTTAAAATTCAGAAAACATCAAAGAAGATCAGAGTTGTAAATGATCTTGGAGACCATTTAGTCCAACTTCCCACTCACCTTCCCCATTTTACAGATGGCCTAGAGAGATGACAGAATGTCCTCAATGACATGTGCAAATGCTTAGCTTAGTTAGCAACCCAGGTTGCTAACTCCAGGTCAGTGCTGTATTTTCGGCTGCCCCAGGGTTGCAGTTACAGAAATTGTTGCTTCTGGGAGTGTCCCCTGTGGAACTGAGGCCAGCTGTTTTCACTGGTCACTCAAACATCTCCACAGAATCTATCTACTGAGGCTTTCCTATGTAAAGGGATTCCATCCACTAGCAGCGTTTCCACTTCTTGCCTGGACTTTGCACCACAGCTCCTCTTAGTAAGACTATGATGTGTCCTAACCCCCAATTTTTTTGTTTTGTAATTCTAGAAATGAAACACCTAGTAGCTGTCCCTTCTGTCTTTTATAGTGGTTTCTCCCTTGTTTTGAAATACCATAGAATCTGTCAGTAAAGAGATGGGTGAGTGGTCCCTGTCCTGGGCTTGTGAGCTTCCCCCTCCCCAAACTGGCACAGCAGGAGGCACCATAAGCAGGATGGGAGGAGTGGGAAGTCTATATGCGGTGCTCTCTGTGGACCTCATCACCCTCCAGGATGATCTTGTAGCGTTAAGAAGTACCATACTGTCACTCTGAGGTGCACTAAAAAAGGGTTCACCTCCAGAGACCTCTAGGATGGTGTGTGGCTGGTCTTGAAGGTGGTGGTTTCCTTCCAAGTTCACAGTCTCTAGTCTTCCTGTATGCCCCACCCCCAAAAAGCCACAGCCACATGTCTGTCTGCATTCTCTGTGTGCTTTAGATGCTTCTGGTTCCATCTCTGGGATTCAAACACAGCCCACATATGGTCTCATAACAGTCACTGAAGTCAAAGACTGGAGACAGTCTTTCTGGTTGCTGCACACCAGATGTTTCCTCCCCTGTGTTTGGCCCACTGTGCACAGTGATGTGTTCCAGGGCCCTGGTACAGGTGGGAATGGGAATTCCTCCACAGACCAGCTCCACCCCCAACCCACCCTTGGGGTCCTCATCTCTGTTCTGCAGCTAGAATGTTCCCTTCTTCAATGCTCTGCAGAGGCAGCCTCTGATTTGCAAGCGTTCTGCTGCCTCGGCGGCCTGCAAAACCAGCCCCCGGGACAGTCCTTGCTGTGAACAAGACCCCTGGCAAAGCCTCCTCCCCAAATAAGTTGATTTTGGCTTCAGCCTCAATGGCTTTGGCCAAGCTGGCTGCATAACTGTCCAAGGTCTTATGTACTTCAGCTTTGACGTGAAGAATAGAGTTCTTGGCAGCCTCTGGGGAAAGACAGAAAGGAGGTTAGTGGAGGAGCTAAGGACTCAAGACTATCCTAGGATTATGACTGCTGTTGACTCACTGCACCAAAGAGGGGAGGCAAGGTGAGGGTAAGGCTATGGGCTTTGAAGTCAGATCCCCAGGCCAAAATCTTTTACTTTCCAACTTCCTACCCAGGAAACACTGTCAGTTATTTAATCTAGTTTTAGTTTCCTTGTCTGTAAAGAGAAGATAAGAAGAGACTTCTTACTTCTCTCGGTTACTCTGATAACTGAATATATGAATTTCTAAGATGTTTGGTCTAGGTGTGGCCTTGGAAAAGGCTTGATAAACATTTCTATTAAACAATTTTACATCTTTGAAAGAATTCCCTGTTCTTTCAGCCTATCTATCTATGGTTATACATGTCCACTCAAACAAGAGTTGTGTCAACTTCCATATCTCTCAGAGCTTCCCTACGTGGAGAGGATCTCAGGGTTGGTAGTGACATTAACATTCAAGCACCCTACTCAGGATTAGGACCCCTGACAAAAGAAAAATGAACAGAAGAGAGGAAGGGAGGTGACTTCAATTCCACATCCAGCACACTGTTGTTATGAACCTCACTGCCTGTTTTCTGGGGATATTTGGGGGAAAACAATTTCTTCCCTCCTTTTCACATTTTCTAGAGAGCAGACAACTTGCACTCTGCTATCCAGGAGGGAAAAAAGAGTAAACCCTGGCCTCCCTGCTATGCCAGAAGGATGTTGTTTCCCTGCTAGTGCTTTGCTGTCAGTGCCTACAAAGGGCAGTTCTGGAAATACCACCCCTGCAATGTAGGTGTGAAAGGGCAGGCTTGGTCCTGTATGGGCTGACAGGGACAGAAGAGGGGTTTGACTGTTTTTCTGTAGAAAAGTAATATAAAGCCAGTGAGGCTGCTGTTCCTAGCTCCATTCTCAAATCTACTTTGCCAGTGAAAAGGATGGTTAGACAACTTCTCCGACCTCTGACATCCACAACTACCTCCATTCATTCTGAACTCAAAGAGCAGGAGGTAGAAAAAATTATGAAATGAAAACTCTAATATGCCCACATTTGTTTTTACATTCAGCATTTCTAAAGAACTTGCATCTTTTTTTGTAGTGAAAATGATAGTAAAGTTTACTAGAAATTGAATACATTTTCAGTAACCTGAAAGTGAGCCACCTCCAGAGTGAGAATGAGAATGATCAAGACCTTACATCCTCAATTCCTCCATCAGAGTCACCTCCCTTGGTGAGATTCAGGGGCAAAGATTCTCATACCTGTGGGCAGCGGGGCAGAGAGGGGAGGGCTCCTTTGTCACTTGTCTGCTTAGCATGTCTGGGTGGGACAGTAACCCCTGGTCCCAGAGGTGACAAGGGTGCTGGACATTGAGTTAACAGGTGGAGTAGGAGAGTATAAGCAATGGACTCACTTTCTCCCAGGACTCAAGTATGCTTGTCAGTTTTAGCAGCAACAATCAAAATGGCGCTGGGCCATATTTCCATTGTCCACCAGAAGAAACTGAGGCTCAGAGGGGCAGTTTCAGAATCATAACTGCACGTCATCCACAAATGAAAGCAACTATATAGGGAGGGCTCAGAGACTGCTTTACTTAAGGTCACCTCCCGAGAAAGGAGCTGTGAGTTGGTATGGGGGGAGGGGTAATAGTTCAACAGTTGCTTTTGCCCAGCTTTAGATGCTGCTTGTTCTGAGGTGCCTCTGGACTCAAGTGAGACCAGCAGGGTTGGGAATAATTGGATGGGAAAAGATGATGGAGCCCTCATGTGTTCAGGAGGGACAAGACTGAGCCAAGGAAACTTCCTAAAATCCTCTTTGCTCCTATGTTTTAAGAAACCAACCTTTGATCTGTTCCACTTCATCCTCAAATGTCACAGAGCTCCTTCTCTTGGGTGGGCAAGTACAGTGGGAGGGAGGGTTGTCATCAGACATGTAGTCTTCCAGCAGCATCACATCTGTCCCTAGGATGAAGAGTACACTATGCACATGTAATTAACAGCACCAAGTGCCCTTCTCCCCTGCCCCTACAGTCCTTCAAACCATAATCAAGTGCAGCTAACCCCTGCAGCAGCTGCCCAAGAAACGTCCCACCTGTCATCCATTTCTGGAGTTTGCAGGCAGCCAGTGGGGCTGCTTCTGCCACACAGACCCTGTGCCAATGTTCTTCAGAGCAGTGAGTAATGAGTCACAACTCACAAAAGCGTTACATCTGCCAGCCCCGGGGTGGGGTGGAAGGAGGGAGCAGGGCTACTGCTAAAAGAGAGGGTCCTACTAAAAGGCAGTTTGCATTCTGAACAACTCTTGTTACAGTCCCATTCTGTCACCATAGCTTAAAAACACACACACATAGAAAACTTGAAAATTTAAAGTTCTGTGGGGGTGGGAGGGGTCAAAAAGGGTTGGAAAATTATACTCCTGAAGAAGTGGGGCGATAAAGGAACATCCTAGTAGAGTTGGCCAGAGCAGGGGAGAGACAAGAGGCACAGGATAGCAGGAAGGAAGGGCTGGGATGGGACCTGCCACTTCACAGTGCCCTGGCCTGACAATGGGAGCTGCCTTGTTCTTGGTTCCCAGCTTCCCAATCTGTCAAAGCTTCGGCGCTCAGGAACTCAGGAGGAAAGCAAAGTCTGGAGTTCCTCATGTGCCTTCAGAATCCATTGCCAGGTGTTACGTTCCTGCCTGTGGAGAACCAGTCCCTGGGTGGGCCTCAGGATATAGTGGTCAGGCATGTAGGTTCACACTGCACAGACCTGGCATTACTGGCAGGTGATTTAGTCCCTCAGTATCCCTCTGTGACTATAAAATTGACATCAGCACCTGATCTGCTTCAGAGAGCTAATGTGAGGATCATGAGTTGAGACAGAAAAATTCAGGATGGTGCTTGGCACATAGGGGGTAAGTCACTGGAAGTCATTATTAATCGGACACAGCTAATAAACTGTAGGCTGAACCACACTCACTCTGTGTGACCCAAATGCCCACAACTCTTCAGCTCACAGCACTGTCCTTGCCTCTCACACCTGGCCATCTCCTCCACTGAGAAGCCTTTCCTACCTTCTCTGCATGATAACTCCCAACTCCCTGCTGTGTATTCCCTACCACTTGGCTCCCTCCCAGCGCTCAGCACGTGCCTGGCCTTTTAAAATAACTTTATGGAGCTATAATTCACAGCCCATACGATTCACCATTTGAAGTGCACAGTTCAATGAGATGTATCACCTTTCATGGAAAGTCTGTCTTCCCCACTCAATTGCAAGCTTCATGAGGACAGTTCACCACTACACCCTAGAACCTCTGGATTTCTGTTAGCTGACGAGCATGGGCAAGCAGTCTGGGAAGTAAGAGATTCTCCTTTACTTCAAGTCGCACAAGAGACTCAGGTCTAGGGGATGGTGTGACCAGTAGTTCCTGGGACTCCATGTGGAGCCCTCTGGGCTGCCAGGTGAGGGGACATCCTCAGGAATGTCCTGCCTCCCAGGTTCCATGACACAGTTCCCTTAGGTGACAGAAAACACAGGCCAAGGTAGGGATGATTTTCAAAAGCTCCCAGTAGCAGAGAGAGAGAAGAGCTCACAGGGAAACACCCACTACCAAACTTGCTACTTTGCGTTCTAGGATTTGGTACCTCTCCCTCCATAGCCCAGAACATCGGCAAGTGCCAGTCCTAGATGGGTAACAGATGTGGCCTGGTGCCTGGCTCTTCTACAATCTGCAGCTGTGAACTAGATTGATGGAGAGTACCTTTTTGACACTTTCATCTCTGCCCCCATGGCTCCAACCCAGGGCCTCATGGATTCCCTGTGAACATAGGATGTAGCATTCATGGTTCTTCATGAGCACCAAGAACAGACTCTGGCATCGTGAAGCCTATGGCCGGGAGGGAGGGGCTGCCCACATTTTGCAAGCTCTTCGAGGCTGTAGCTAAGGGAGGATGGTTGGAGGATTCATAGGAATATAGTGCTTCAGGGAAACGGAGTTGCTCCTTGGGAGCCAGGCCAGGAAAGATGATGGCAAAGCTGGTTGACCTGGCTGCTGGAGGGCTTCCTCTGCACCGGCGCCTGACAGGAGTGCTTCATACTCACTATGCCTTTTAACTCTTACAGCTACCCTTTGACATGGGGATTATTACCCGCATTTCCCAAATGAGGATACTCTGGAGTGTAGAAAGAGATTAAGCAACTTATCTAACATACCTCCACTCATAAAAGGCCAACAGGAGGCTGAGAACCAGGCAGGTGGACTCCAGGGCTGGACTGGCCAGTGGTTACTATAAGTAGAGTAACAAGCACAGTCTTTTCAAATTTTAACTTTTCAAAGGCTTTTGCTTTCTTTCAACCTCACATTAGCTCCATGTGGCAGGGGGAACAGGAGCTTAGGTGCCCATTTTTTAGAGGAAGAAACTGAGGCACAGAAAAGCTGAGAAGCTAAGAGCCACAACTAGAAACCCAGGCTTGAGTTCTTGCTCCATGCTCTTTCCACACTACTTGGGAAAGGAAGTCCCTCTGACCAGCGATTTTACCTGCATCAAGTAAACACACAGGAGAGAGGTTTATGAAGTGTGAAGGTTACCTGAGTCCTGAGAGCAGCTGAAGCCGGTGTCACCAGTGCTGCTGCTGTGCCCCAGGGGCTGTCCACCTGCCATGAGTGCTGTGAGGTGTGGGGACAGGCCCAAATCTGAAAGGCAAAGCACAATTACACACTACCAAGTGGCCAGTGCCTGCTCTCCTATGTCATAACTGCCCTCCTCCCCCGCTCCCATCCTCCAGGGACACAGCCCCTGTCCTCCTGCTCTTTCCCCTCTTCTGTGCAAAACTCACTGAAAGACAGCAGACATCCACTGATTTTACCCCACTCTGCCCCCATTCCTATCCCACTGGGTCAGGACTCACTGGTTTTCCCGGAAAGGGGAAACCCAGTTGACCATGTCAGATACCAAGGCAGGTAGAGGAAAAAATCTAAAGTGAGATGTTCTGTGAGAGAGAACATCTTCCAGTTACAAATGGAAAATTCGACCCCCATGTTTACCTTCTAGATCCTACTTGAATAGCAAGGGGGGATTTAAAAAAATCTTCTTAAAGTGGGAGAGAATTTAGGGAAGCTAGAAAGCAGATGGATGAGGATGATGAAAGTGACCCAGGAAAGAGAACTGAGGTTGTGGGGGAGGCCAGAAAACGAGGCAAGTTGTCACTCAGGGACCCCAGAAGTTCAGAAACTAGGCCCAGGAGTCTCTGCAGGCAGGTGGGGATTGACAGAAAGCATCTGTAGTGACACCTCCCTGCTCTTTTCCATCTGGACTTAAGATGCCTGACCAGCAGTGTTGATGGGACAGTGGAATGAACCAGAGAGATGGCTCTGGCCCTCGAGACACAGATACAGCAGAAGGAAAAAGCAGTATAGTAAAAACTGAGGGGACAGGGAGAAGAGAGGGAGAAGCTATATATCTGTCAATCAGATCCTGGCCAACCTGAGCTGGAGGCTGGAGATGGAAGACCTCTCCACCAGGAAAACCAGTCAGCCCAAGAGAAAGACATGCTGATAGTAAACACTGGGGGCCCTTGAAATGGCCCAGCTGGACCACACTGTAGTCAAGAAGACTGCCAGCCCCACCTCAACCTGGGCTTCCCAACGGCTCTCCAGTGTCTCCTTACTAAAGGTGTAGAGCTGGCCAAGGTCCACCACAGTTAAAGAAAGGTGCTAGCATGAAAGAGAGAGGTGGGGGGAAAGAAAGAAAAGACAAATGGATCTCAGAACACAATTTGTGGAATTTAAGGATGAAAAAATTATAACGGGGTATCATAAAGTTGAAAATTAATGAATCCATTACAAAAGGAACTGGGAACAATTTTAAAAGAGAATATGGACGTAAAAAACACTTAGAAATTAAAAACATAGAGTAAAAAGAAGTCAAACTCCTCATATCTCCTGAGGAAGACCTACTACCTAGTAGAACCGCTGTGGTTTCAATGTTTCCCTCAAAGTTCATGCGTTGGAAGCTAATCCCAAGGCAACAGTGTTGGGAGGTGGGGCCAAATGAATGAATTAATGTTGTTATCATAGAAATGGGTTAATTACCTCAAGCATGGCCTTGGTATCAAAGAGAGTTTCACCCCTTTTGACCTCTCTTGCCCTTCTACCTTCCTCCATGGCTTGATAAAGACAAAATCCCTTGCCAGATGACAATGCCATGCTCTTGGACTTCCCAGCCTCCAGAATTGTAAGCCAAATAAATCTCTGTTCATTATAAATAATCCAGTCTTGGGTATTTTATTAGAGCAGTAGAAAATGGACCAACATAATGATTTTCCATAAAAGTCAATCCCTGATTTCCCTACAATACACTTTCAGATAAGAAAACCCTGTTCTTTAATTTTATTCTAGAGCCTCTGAGGGTGCAAGGTAATAGAAGATATTCTTTCCTCTCTTCCCTGGAGCCAAGGAGGAGATGGAGGCACTGGAGGGATGGGCAGTCACAGGGAGCTTCCCTCGGAACTTCCTTTTCTTTATTTTTGGAATTCCATACGGAGCTATCCCCTTGGCGTTCCCCTTCACCAGGAGTTAGTTACAGGGTGAGATCAGAGAAGACCCAAAACACCTCCCCTGAACCTAACACCGCTCCTAGGTCTTGGCCTCCAAACATGGCTATGTTCAACAGGAGGCCTGGCTTTGGGAGTGGAGCCAACGGGGGCCACCTCCTGCCAACCGGGATGGTGGCAGCCACAGTGGGTTTGGGACACCATCTCTGAGGCTGCAGCAAAAGCCAGGAACATGTCTTGGTCTCCACCAGTGGGAGGAATCACTTAAGCCAGACCACTGTGGCTTCTCAGAACGGCCTGAGATAGGGCAGCCAGGTGGCATCTGTGTACTCTGTGTTTTCCCAGCTTTTCCCACTGGAGGGTGGACACAGTTCCCCTGAGATTTTTCCCATGAAACAACACATCCTTCGGGCTGGGCCCAATCCAACCCCTCAAAAGACATAGAGAGAGAGAGAGAGAGAGGGAGAGTGACAGGGAGGGAGGGAGAGACAGAGAGAGAGAGAGAGGAAGGAAGAGAGGGAGAGAGAGAGAGGGAGGGAGGGAGAGAGGGAGGGAGAGAGAGAGGGAGAGAGGAGGGAGAGAGAGAGAGAGAGAGGGAGGGAGGGAGAGAGGGAGGGAGAGAGAGGGAGGGAGGGAGGGAGAGAGAGAGAGAGAGGGAGGGAGAGAGGGAGGGAGGGAGAGAGGGAGGGAGAGAGAGGGAGGGAGGGAGAGAGAGAGGGAGAGGAGAGAGAGGGAGGGAGAGAGAGAGAGAGAGAGGAAGGGAGAGAGGGAGAGAGAGAGGGAGAGAGAGGGAGAGAGAGAGAGGGAGAGAGGGGAGGGAGGGGGAGGGAGAGAGAGAGGAGAGAGGAGGGAGAGAGGGAGGGAGAGAGAGGGAGGGAGGGAGGGAGAGAGAGAGAGAGAGAGAGAGAGGGAGGGAGAGAGAGAGGGAGGGAGGGAGAGAGAGAGAGAGGGAGGGAGGGAGGGAGGGAGGGAGAGAGAGAGGGAGAGAGAGAGAGAGGGAGGGAGAGAGAGAGGGAGAGAGAGAGGGAGGGAGAGAGAGGAAGGGAGAGAGTCAGGCCCCAGAGATCAAGTTTGCTGCTGTGGAGGAACGTGGGGCAGGCAAAAACCACTAGTGCCTTTTAGGAGCTAACACAACAGGGGAAGGGATTCTGAGGTGAAGATCCTACAATCACCAGAAGACCTCGAAGTGCCATCCGGAAAGGTACTTAGAAAAGCAAGGGAGGGACATTCAAAAGTTCCCAGGTTGCCCTTTCCTCCCTCTGGCCCTGACCTCTCAAAAGGACATGATTTAAGGCACTTTCCAAAGTAAACGAGAGACTGCGTCCTCTTCCCAGGAGATAACTAAAGAGGCCCTGCCCCATTTAAGGCTCCAGGTGACAGGGGCATCTGGTTAGGCTGCTTCCCCAGGTGCAGGCCACCTGACTGGGGGAAGAGGTCATCCTTGAGCCCTCCAGCCTGGGGTGCACCAGCATATCCTCTAGTGGAAAGGCTGTGGAAGGCTGTTTGCCCTTTCTCCTGAGTTCTCTTCTTTCCACTGATTGCCAGGAGCCTGTGTCAACTTTAGACTTGTAGTTTAGTATCCTAAGACCAAATTAGCATTTAGCTTACCTTTCAGCACTACAATACAATGTCCACTCCAGGGCTGACCTATTCACCATGAGGTGGCACTGCCTGGTCACCTCTTGGTAGCCCATCGATTTCAGATCCTGGGTGAACCCACCCTGTAGGGTTCAGCTAATGAGACCTCTCAAGCACAAGATCTGCTCACAGGGCATTCAACAGAGTCTGTTCAGCCTAGCTGAGACAGAAGGACCAGGGACATGTGGTGGAAACCACAGTTCACTCTCTCTATCAGGAAGGTAGTTCCTGGCCTGGATGGCCCAGGGTGTGGAGTTGGGATGGGGCCACACATTCTGCCTTGATACCCAGATTCACATTGATGCCTCTGGCCTCCTAGGATCAGACTCCTCAGCTCCCATCCCTGGAGAAACCACAGACTCAGAACCCATCATCCCACAAGCTGTTCAACCCAAAAGCATCCCACAAGACTGTTTTTCTAAATAAGGACTGCCAGCAGCCTTAGACTTGCCAATCTAACCACAGCTGGTGTCTTCCACTTGCTCTTACAGCTCACGAACTCTTCCAGGACAATCACAAGTGACTTGCATGGAAAATCTTGGCCCCCAGACAGATGTTTCTTTTTGTTCTATCTATCCTCTCCTCCTTAAGTCTCTCCATTTTTTTTCTTCCTCATTCTTAATGTCACTGGAATAGAAAATATTATTTTTTTGCCTAGAAGACAAGTGATTTTTACAAAATCTGAACAAATAAGCTAACCAGTGAAATGAAGCCAAACATTGAATATACCTCTTGGCTCACGAGTCATACTTGCAAGTGGCAGGGGGTGGGCACTTCAGTCTTTTAAATACTGGGATATGGAAACATTTGGATACAGTCAAAATAAAAAGTCCCAGACTTCCTTTTTTTCAGAAATAACTCCATTAATCTACGAAATAGATCAGTACAACTGGTGTGCCTCATCACCAGATGGAAAGAATCTCCCGTCATCTCTGCCAATGAGTGCTCAAAGTAACCAGGGGTCATAATGTCTTCTAAGGAAGGTGAAGGAACTCTCTTTGCCATGAAGAGGGAAATTAACTACATGGTTTGATGAGATGCCCAAAGTCATATTGCAAGAGGTCAGAACTGCAATCTGAATGAGGTGCCCTTAAAACCTTCCAATGGCTTGACTGGGTGAGGGTCTCCCTAAAATTCTAGATACCTCATCTCAGAACAACACAGCCATAACTGCTAGGGTCGTCCACCACTGCATGCTCAAAACAGTGCATGAAGGCTGGAGGAGGAACAGAATACTTGCACAGTCTCAGGGTAGCTCCTCTGTTGTATTAACTACAATGGAAATGATGGTGACTTTATAGTGGGGAAAGCTGGCAGAGGACACCTGAACTAGGAGGTCAAGGGTCACCTAACTCATATTGACATAAGTGCCCCTGATCTGATGCACTGAGCCCATTAGCCCTGCAGCATTCTTGCCAAATTAGTAGAACCTCATTTTAATTGTGAGAAAACAGATAAAGACAAATCAAGGAGCACACTAGAAAAGGCTTGACCAATGCTCTATAAAAGTGTCAATGTAGGGCTCTCCCCACTGGCACAGCACTTGCCTAGTATGCTTGAGATCCTGGGTTTGATCTTGTGCTGGACACTAAAGGAAACTCTCTGTGCTGTTTTTTAAACTCTTCTATGATTCTAAAATTATTTTAAAATAAAAAGGTGAAAAAATTCTAACTCCTAACTAGAGCAAATATCTGGGTCTTGTCAAAGGTGGTGGAGCTGACTCTGGATCCGCTCTCAGGCTGATAAGCAGCCTCAGTCACATGATAGTGACACTTCAATGGATGGCTACTATTTGGCAATGACACCCCCTCACCAGGGACTATATGAGGAAACTGCTGGCCTGGGAGGAAGGCGCAAGGTGCCTGTGCTAGAGGAAGGGAGACAGACTGGAACGAGCAGCCAAAGTAAGGAGGGGGCATTGAAGAAAGGGCACACTGAAGGAAACATTTGCCAAGAGGAGAAGCAGCCTGGCCTAATGCTTGGCTCTTTTTTTTTCTCTAGTAAAGAAGTAACTATACACTTGAGACCAAGGGTTTGGCTAAGGTTTCAAAAAGTGGATTTCTGAATTGTAGTGTCCCTTGTATGTCAGGGAGCTATGCTGGCCCCCTCTTTACCATAGCCTTGAGCTGCTGAGTATTGGAAGGATATTTGGGTATCACCAAGGAAACTCTGCTGTCCTCCTTCTCTGCTTGGAATTTTGAGGCCATAGGCTGAACAACTGAGAAGGACCTTAAACTATACCTGCCTTGGGGTGGGCATCCCTTTCCTAACAGGTTCCCAAGTTACCTGTGATCCTGTTGGAAATGCTGAAGAGCCTGGAAGTTCTCTGTCGCTGCACAAAGGGTTCCCGGTAATACCGGTCCCCAAAGCACATGCCCAGGAGTTCCTTGCGAACTGTCTTGTTCCAGAGTCCGTAGATAAGGGGGTGGCAGATAGCGCTCGTGAAGGACAGCCATGTGGCCCAGGTCTCCAGGGTGGGGGATACATAGTTCTTCCCCCAGAGTGCCTCAGAAGTGATAACAACCATGTAGGGGCCCCAGGTGACCATGAAAGCACCAAGGACCACCAGGATGGTAATGAGGGCTTTGCACTGGTTGGCTGAGTAGACCACGCCCTGAAAGGCATTCCTCCTACTGCCAGAAGAGGAGGTGGAGGTGCTTGAGTTTTTCCTCCCACTCCTCTGTGCATCCTCCTCCACAATGACCACCGTGCCACAGTGCACCTTGCGTGCCTTGACCCTGGCCACACGGAAGATGAAGCCATAGCACACCAGCATGACCAGAAAGGGGAACAAGGCGCACCAGATCTGCCAGAAGGCAGTGTATCCAGGCTCTCGGTGCCAGGCAGCCACACACATCCACTTGAACTCGTCAAACTCCACCGAAGACCAACCAAATAGGGGAGGCAGGCAGCCGACGAGGGAGTGAAGCCAGATGTAGACAAGCGCCATCACAGCCCGATTCCCTGTGATCTTCATGGGGTACACCATCGGGTATAGGACAGCATAATAGCTGAAAAGGGATAGGGGTGGGGACACAGAGGGGTCAAAAGGAAGAGAGAACACATCAAGAAGTGTACCCTGCTTTCCTTCAGGGGCCCTGCACTTCTCCCAGCCAACCCTTCCATAGAGTAAAGCCATCTCTAAGAGGCACCTTCTCCAGCCCTCCCCAAGTGAGTTGCAGGCTATCGTGCTGCACAGCTCTTCAGCATAGAACAACAGTTGGATGCAAGCCAGGACACAGAACTCAGATGGTCCCATGTCCAGGTTGACACACCAGAGACCTCTCCTATCTGGCAGTGCAGGTGCCCCTGAGGCCTCTTCAGGGGTCCCGAGAGATCATGTGTCAAGCCAGCTCAGTTCTGCTCTTGCTGGCATTAATCTCTTTAGGGCAGTTTTCAGAGAGGTCATTAAGAACCCAAGTGATGTCTTTGGACTACTGGGTTCATTCACTCAACAGATATTTCCTGAAAGTGTGCTGTGTGCTACCTCCTGGAAACACAGGTGAGACGATGTGAGGAAGGCAAACACATGAGTCAGGAGTGGGAAGGGGCCCCGCTGAATGCTCACAACTGTGAGCAGCAGGTGTGCCGTGCTCATTTTTTAGACAAAAACACTAAAGCAAAGAAAGGCCGAATAACCTACCCAGATATATGGAAGCAAGAGATTAAAAAAAAAAAAACAACCAACCCGCAGGCTATCTAACTCTACGGTCCCTCACACACAGGCCCAGCAATTCCTTGCAAGCTATCTTGTTCTAGAGTCCATGGATCAGAGGGTGGCTTCCAGTCACACTCCTGTTACGGAGGAGGTAGGCAAGTATTCTACTGGTTCAAGCTGGCAGACCTTGATCCAGACCAAAGGGGTAGAGTGGGCTTTCTGGAGGAGAGAACACAAGACCTGAGTCCTGAAAGGTTGGGGCACTGGCCTGAAACCATCCCAGGAGGAAGGCTGGCCTCAGCAGGGCATGGACATTCGAGCGAGCATGGTTCCACAGGGGAAATGTGCGTAGTGCAATCAGGCGGAAGCACTGAGGACGAGGAGAGGGGAGATGAGAAACTACCAGGTGGGCAGGGGCAGGGTGGGCAGAGCCTTATAGGATGGGCTAATGCCAACCCTGGAAATGGAAAGGGTGGAAGGACTTTTTCTTTTCATTCATCTATTGGTGGAAGGACTTAGAGCATAGGGTTGGAGGTAAACCACCACTCTCCCCCGCAGACTTACCCAAGGGAATACTGCTTACATGAATTGAACCTTCCCATGAAGGTGCCTGTGGGACAAGGGTGACCACAACGATGCTGACTGGTACAGGCAGGATGCTGGAAAGTGACTGTAGCTACACCTCACACATTCCCTGTGAGGCTATCTCCTCCACCAGGGCCTTCCTGACCTACCCTTGGGTACCACAGCTGACTGGATGGGCTGCCTCCCCAGTCAGTGTTCCAAACCAGGGTAAGCCTGGAGTGCTCAGGTGTTGTGCCACAAGCTCAGGCCAAGAGCATTTGGGGGTATGGAGCTGAGAAGAAGCTCCTGCTGTGATTGTGGTGCAGATGACAGGGTCACTTCACAGTGGCCTGAATAAGGTTATTACTGTCTCACACTGGTGTCTCAGTTTGCATCTGACAAAGGCCATGCAAGTCCAGTGGAAGAAGCATGACTTCGGAGGTGGAAATTCTGAGTCCACCTGTTGCCTACGACCTGGGACCTTGGGTAGCTAATTTAACCTCTCAGAGCTCCAGTTCCTTTTCTGAAGTGGGAATTGTAGAACCTAGGTCTCAGGTCTGCCTCTAGGAATGATTGGGGCAGAGCATGTGAAAAGCCTGGATCGTATCTCCCCTTAAATGGTAGTCAGGCAGAGTCTGTTCTCTGCTGGCCCACCTACCTGTCTCCTTCCTCTTTAGGGACGGAATCCCACAGAGCTCATGTTCCTGCAAAATTTCATGATCCATGGGACACCGGGCCCCTCTGAGCCCAGGAGGATGACGCAAACCACTATAGTGATCTTCCTACCCTCACGGAGTGACCAGCTAAGACATCATCCTGGTAAGTGAAATGTGAGGAAAATTTGCTTGAGTGGAAGGGTTGGGGGTTGTACTTCTAGGAAGGTCTTCTCATTTAAGAAGACACAAGGTGAGGCCAGGCATGATCGTACACATATGCAATCTAGCTACTTAGGAGGCAGAAATGGAAGGATCCCAGTTTGAGGACATCCGGGGGAAAAAGTTAGTGACACTCTATCTCAAAAACAGACTAGTGGGTTGAGGGCACGGTTTAAGTGGTAGAGTGCCTGCCTAACTAGCACAAGGCCCCGAGTTCAAACCCCAGTACTATCAAAAAGAAAGAAAAAAAATTTTAAGACATAAAATCAAAACTTCTACTTTTTTTCTCTAAATGACGTGCAGGTGCTCTGACTTCAGGACCTCCAGAGAGTGTACGAGTGGGTATGGGAGGCCAGATGTGCTGAATGTTCACTGTCTTGGACCCTTTGACCAATCCTGTTCTGGCAGTCATAAGAATAATTACAATTAATAAGATGTGTTCTGCCAGAATCTGCGAGCTATTCTCAATATCCACTTAATACCATTACCTTATGGACAGGTTTTCCTTTATTGTAAGAAATGATACTTGTGTTACTTGCTGACTCAAGTTTGGGTCTGGGCAACTACAGGGGACCTGACCGTGTTTTCTCCCTCCTGAGTTCCCAGGAAGGTCCAGGCCAGCAGCCAGGTGCTGGCTACCTTGAGGACTGTCTCTGAGAGTCAGAAAAGCCCCACAGGCCACAGCCCTGCCCAGGTACAGGTACAGCCACAGCCTCTAGGGGTTACATTGCTTTTATTTCTTTTGGAGGGGGAGGATTAAATGTACACATGTTGACATGTATAAATCTATCCCTCTATCAACATAAAAGACATTCCCAAAGACAGGGGGTTTCTTTTGCTTTCTGAGTGTTTAACTGTTTTTTTTGTTGTTGTTGTTTGTTTTGTTTTGTTTTACAGGGAGAGGGGGTTAGTACTAGGGTTTGAACTCAGGGCCTCTTGCTTGTAGACAGGCACTCTACCACCTAAGCCACATCCCAGCCCTCTCTTAACTGTCTTCTGAGGTTCTAGATCTTTCCACTAACTGTTCATTTTTACACACGAGCCCACACATGACCCTTGGACCCAAAAGACAGAGTCTCAGGTTGTCATGTGTGACATATCAAGGGGTGTGTAGCTCTCCTGCCACATACCAACCATGTTGATATATCCTGTTTTTATAAGATGTCTTCACTGAAAACATGAACAAATCTATGCCAACTCCAGCTACCTTGTGTAAACAGGTTAACTTAACACTGCACAATCTGAGTGATCCTTTTTCTCATAATCCATTGTTTTAGGCACTTGCATGTATTATATTCTATTTTGGGAACTGGAGTTTCATCTACCACAGGGTGGAATGAAAATATGAGAAACATTTTAAATGGCTCTGGCACCCTACCAGCTTCCCAGCTAAGCTAGAGGTGACCACACATTTTAGACTTGCCTGTAGTATCAGAATTATTCACAGTAAAACACTTCACCCATGGAACCATGGCCCAGGCTGTCTATTTCCACTTGGCTAGTTTAGGACCTGACAGTTAAATGGTGAGTTTCACTCCAGCCAGCTGTTTTTTTATAATCTGCCTTTGCTCTCTCTTTATGGGCTATAAGATAGATTCTTTGGGGTCATCTGTCCAACAAGTTTGACATCTTCCTTCCTTCCTTCTTTCCTTTTTGTGGTACTGGTACATGGTAGGCATTGAGCCACCACCAGTCCTGACAGCTTGCTTCCACTAGGATTCTCAGTTGGGAATAATTGTGTCCCTCTGAGGATATGTAGCAATGTCTAGAGACACTCTGTGCTATCACAACTAGAGAGATGTCACTACCACCTAGTGAGTTGAGGCTAGAAGCTGCCATATGTCCCACAGTGACAGGACAGCACCTCACCGTGAAGAGTCACCTGGCTCAAAAGTCAACAGAGCTGAGGTTGCGAAGTCCTGAGTTACATACCTGCAAGACCCTTCTCACTATTTAGGGCCTGGCTTGAGCTCCATCTTTTCCTGATGTCCTCACTTCCCCATCCATTGGCAGCAGTGATTGGTGGAGCTGTCTGTGACAGTTATTTCTGCTTTGCTTTGACATCAGCAGGCACAGGTCAGTGTCTGTCACTGACCTGCTACTCTGTTGGGTGGCTATTGGGTGGGTCTGTATCCTACTCATGCCTGTCTACTACCACCCCAAGATTCAGAACCTCCCATAGAGTACATCAAAGAATAAGGCACTGGGCAATATAAACTCTCTGTGGGTGATACATTTGGATGGCATGATTCGAGAGTTTGTCATACTTGCTGGTGAAAAACCTCATTCTTACCTCTCTAAACCCCAGATTTAATGGCAGAACTGACAGCCTCCTACAGCTTCCACTGCAGACAGCTGGCACTATTTACTAAGCATTCAGCTAGAGACAGCCCTGCAGAGACACTTCAAGACCAATGCCCCATCTCTTTTAGGGTTTTTGGGGGTTTCTTTGTCTTTTCTTTTTTTGGTGGTACTGGAGTTTGAACTCAGGGCCTCATGTTTACTAGGCAAGTGCTCTACCACTTGAGCCACTCCCACAGCCCAATGCCCCATCTCTACAACTAAGCTTCTTAGCCTCACTCTGTGTTCCCAGGACCCAAGGCGCAAGGAAGGGATATTCAAAAGTTAATATTTCTTACAATAGAAAGTGCTGTGGTTTGAATAATGACCCCACAGATCCATTTGCTGAAGGTATGGTCCCCAGCTGGGGGTGCTATTTGGGAGGTGGTGGAAACTCCAGGAGGTAGTGCTTAGCTGGAGGAAGTAGATCACTGGGGGCTGCCTTTGAAGGGTACACCCAGTGCCCAATCCTTTCTTTCTCTGCTTCCTGTCCACCATGAGGTGAGCCTCTGACACATGCTCCCGCCATCATGATGCTCTGCCTCACCATGAGTGTAAACTAAACACAGCCAAGGACTATGGATGGAACCCTCTAGAACCATGAGCCAAACTATATAATATTTTGTCACAGCAACAAAAGTCTGACTAGCATAGAAAGTAAAACAAGGAGATTCCATTCTTCCCCACAGTCAGTGAGCTTCGAAAAATCTTTTTCCAGTATTACATAATCCATCCTGATAGGATACTGAACACGGCTGCTGAAGTAAACATCTGTACAACTTCCTGAAAGGCAACTTGACTTTTCTACACCAAGAATCTTGAAGGTGTAGTTACTCTTACTGAAAACATGGCAATTCCACAAACAGACATGCTCTCAGAGTAGTGAGCTGTGTGAAACCACCTAACTCCACTAACAGGGGACTGAAAAAAAAAAGTCACAGTCCATCCACAGGATAGGATTCCACAGAACTATTAAAACTCATGTTCTCCAGATATCTCCAGATGGGAGGAAATGCCCGTGATCACATGATAAGGCACAAAACTATGTGTGCCACGAGCCTATTTCAGAAATTCAATGTACACAATCAAAAATTACCAGAGGCAAATACACTGAAAACATAAACAGTGATTGATCCAGATTGGTTGGATTCTGAGTAGCTCTTCTTTCATTCTTTATGTTTTCTGTATTGCTTTTATTACTGGAAAAAAACAGACATTTAGTTAACTGACTCATTTTGGCCTTATCTCTGTTCATTCTACATCCTTCACACAGCCATGGAGGGATAATAGGATTCTGGCTCTGAGTCCAGTGGAGGCCTGTGCTCAGGATGAACAGTCCAACTACACTCATCACCTGAATAACGGGTGATCCCCTAAGAGCCTAGGGACTTGTGGCACAACATCCCTGGCCAGCCCCCTCTGCTTTTACCTTGACTCTACCACTAACTTCCTCCCCAGTTTCTGGGAAATCACACAGACCTTGAATCTACCCTCCCCGTCTCCATGAAGTCCAACCTTTGCCTGTGATGGATGAAGTGACCATTGGAAAAATCCTACTAAAAAATCCTAAATGAAGGGTGGGAACTCACTGCAAAGCCCCTGAGCTTTGTACAACCAACTCTGCCAGCACAATACAGGAGTCTCAAGAACCCACCAGGTATAGCTGAGGAACATCTGCAGTGCCACTGGGAGCAAACTGGGTGGTAACAACACACTCAGCTTCTCCCAGTTGTGACTGTCTGTTCCCTGGATTGTTTTCTTTTTCCTGCTCCCCTTCTAGCCCTGGCTGTGGAAGAGTGAATAGGTTTCCTATCTGGGCTCCACCAGTGAGCTGGGACCAAGACCACAGCACGACACAGTAGGCACCTGTAAGGTTGAAAGAACAGTTGGGTCAGAAGACCAGGACTCAGTTCCTACTCACCTACCTCAGCTCTGTTTCTTCATCTGTAAAAGGAGAAACAAAGGTTTCTAGAACTTTTTTTTAAAGCAGTGGAACCTCCTTTTAAAAAAATTAAATTATAGTCAAGCATCACTTAACAATAGGGATACATTCTGAGAAATGTGTCACTTGGTGATTTTGTTGTTATGCAAGCATCAGTGTGTACTGACAAGAAAACAGGTGGTATAGCTTTCTACACACCTATATGGTACAGAATTTCAAATTATGCAGTCTGTCACTGATTGCAGCATCGTTATGTGGCACGTGACTGTATATGCAATTAGACAAATACAACCAGCGGTGCTCTGGTTAAGGAGATTGAAGAGAAGGCAGAACTCAGTTTGCTCACCCTGCCCTAGAAGAGGCCGCTGGCCCTATTCCAAGGAACTAACAGTGTACAAGTGGCTGGACCAGCAATCACCATTCTGAAATCCTTCAACTCTCTAAGTCTGAGGCAAGCTTACCGGTCTATGGCAATGACCCCGAGGGTGAGCATGCTGGCCGAGCTGATCAGCAAGTAGAGGAGGGCAGAGAAGTTGCACCAGACCACACCGAAGATCCATTCCCTCCGGATGGAGCTAGTCACCACAAATGGCAGCACCAACACAGACAGCAAGAAGTTGGATAGGGTCAGGCTGAAGACAAACTTGTTGCTGAGGGTGAGAAGGTAGGACTTCTTGTACAAGGTAACCACGATGACCAGGTTTCCCAGGCAGACAAACACGGTGATGATGATAATGGCAATGAACTCGGTGACGATCACACCCCCTTCACCTCCCTCCTCCACGGTGAGGTTGCTTAGCTCCTTCCTGTGGCCAAGGGAGGAGTTGAGGCTCATGGTCAGTGCACCTTGGCATGGGGTGGGCACAGCATGCTGGATGACTGCAGAAAACAAGGCAAGACCAAGGGACAGGAAAAGATCATCAGATCACATTGTCTCCCCTTTATAAAAGAGGAAGTTGAGGCTTAGAGGTGTTGCCCCAGGTCACCCAGCTAGTCTGGAGACTTTTGGTCAGTCTTCTGCATGCAAGATAAGTGGCCTATGTTCTACAACCCACATTGTGTGCCACTCACTGTGTCTCCTTAAATGATTTTTCTTTTCCCTTCATGTCTCTCAAGGGCCCATAGGTTAAGTCCCCACAAGACTAATTCCCTGGTTTAGTCCCCAGCTTGACACTGCTAGGAGAAAGTGGAACTTTCAGAAGGTGGGGCCTAGTGGAAGGATTTAGGCCATTGTGATGTGCCCTTGGAGAGGACTGTGGAGCTCTGCTCTCTTCCTCTCTCACTCTTTCATTTCCCAGCAGCCATGAGGTAAGCAGCTGCGCTCTACGGTGCACTTCCTCCATGGTGTGCTGCCTTACCACTGGCCCAAAAGCAATGTGTTCGACTGACTGTGAACAGAAACTTAAAAAACTGAACCAGAAGAAAATAGTAAACCTTTCCTTTCTTTTTTTTTTTTTTTTCCTGTGCTGAGAAACTAACCTAGGGCCATACGGGTGTTAGGCACGTGCTCCACCACTGAATTATGTCCTCAGCCCCAGAGGAAACTCATAAGTTGTTTATCACAGGCATTTCATTACAGTACAGGAAAGCTGACTAACACAATCCCCCTATCCATTTTCCCAAAGCCAAAGTCTCCAAACCTTTAGTGTGCTTAAGAATCACCCGAAGTGCCAGGTCAAAAAGCCAATTCCTGGGTTCCACCAGTAGAAACTCTGGTGTTGGAGATCACAGGCATGACCATTCATGCTTTTTTTTTGCAGTGTTGGGGATGGAGCTGACTGCAGAAACAAGGGCCTTGTGCATGTTAGACACTCCACCCCCAAGCTACACCCCAACTCCAATCTGCACTTTAAACAATCAGGTGGGGACAGGGAGCGCCAATACAAGTGTTCTGTGGGGGTCTGTTTGCAGATTGCTACCTTAGACACTTCTCAATGTGGGTCTGAACCAGCAAAATCACTGGGTGCTTACAAGAGACACAAGCCTATTTCTGAATTAGGGAACCAAAATCTGTACTTGAATCCCATCCCCAGCTGATTCATGTGCACATTCAAGTTTGATGTTAAGATTATCATGAGAACTATTCTGAGTTCCCCAAGCAAGGTTTAATCAAGTAAAATATATACTGTAATTGCTCTCATCAGACTCAGTGAGGGAGAGCAAGGATCTAAGTCCTAGGTGTAGATGGGTAAGTAGAGGCACTGTTGGAGGTCTTGGCCCACAGACATCACTGTCATCACTGCTCCCAGGAAACTGGCTCAGGATCTTGGCTAAAACTCAAAGTTGACACATTTTAACATAAAATCCTATAGGCTAATGTTTTTTCCAAACTTTTCATCTACTTTTGTCAGCCAAAAACTCCCACATATCGCTTTCCCCACCTGCTCTTGTTCTCCATGAACAGAAGACACCAGAAAGAAAGGAAAGACTGCTTTCTGTGAGCTAGACAACAAAAACCCTGGTCCCTAAACCGCCTCCACATAGCAATGGAATAGCTCACATCCGCCTGCCATCTCCATCCTAGCACCTTTGCCACAGGGAAGAGGAAGGTGGAAAAGCAGTTCATCCCCCTACAATAGTCCTTGGTGCTGGCTGGGAAGCTCTCCTTGCAGTTAGCTTGCATATGTAGCAGGTTGTAACCACCAATCCCAGGCCTGCTCTCTAAGGCAACACTGAGTAATGTGAGTCCCTCTTCCACGTGATGGTCTTCACTTGACTTCCTTCTCTGGATTATTCTCCAGTTCCTGATCATTCTTCACTTGGTGGTTCAAGACCCTTCACTAACTCAGCCTCCCTGTTGCACTTGCTCACAGATGTCTGTTACTCTCCTGATTTGTGGTCCCCCAAACTGAGCATAACATTCTAGCTGTGGTCTCATCAGTATCAAACCCAAAAGGACAGTCTTCATGATAAAGATAATCTCCTTCCAATATTCACTCTAGGAATACATTTTCTTGTAGCAATTATATCATCTTGTTAAGCTTATAAGTGTGTGGTAAAAACCCAGCAGATACTCCCAATCTTGAACACATGGAATTAATGTTTTTAAGCCTAAGCACAAAACATTATTTCTACAAATTTTACTTTCTGCATGTTAGCCCATATTTTCAGGCTGTTAAAATATTCTGAATTTTAATTCAGTTATGCAATTTCTTAGTTATTCCATCTTGGTGCCATGAATATATTTTACAGGTACGCCGACTATATCTGTGTCTTTGTAAGGTTGTTTCTGGTTTTTAATCTTTAGTTGGCAAGTTCTGGATTTTGTTGAGTCTTATAAGTAAATTATTAATTGGTGTCTTGATATAAAGCTTTCACATAACTATATTATTCCTCAGTTAATTGATTAGTGATTTAGAAACAGACTTTGAACCATGAGACGAACAAAATGGGAGAAAATATTTACAATTTATCTCACAGATAAAGGACTAATCATCCTCGTTTATAAGGAATTCCTTAAGAATTCTGAGAAAAATGGGTGAAAAATCAGAATAGAAAAATGGGTAAAAGACATGAATAAAGAGTTCACAGAAAAAGACATGACAGTGGTATAGGAAAAGCTGCTCAATTTCACCCAAAGTGAGAGAAATGGTCTTCAGATGCTATTTCTTTTTCTTTCTTTCACACCTGCAAAAATTCAAAAGCTTGGTAGCATTCTCCACTGTCAAGGCCATGGAGAAACATGCTCTTCTCCACTTCAAATGAGGATGAAAACTGGTACAGCTCTGTGGAGAGGGTTTGACAATGTCTAACAAAACTGTACATACATGCACCCTCGGTCGCAGCAATTTCACTTTGAGGCATTCCTCCTAAAGCTACACGGTCACAATGTGAAATACCAGATGTACAGGACTATTTTATTCGTTGAGGCAATTAGTTATTTTAAAAAATGGGAAACAAAGAAGAAGTTGAAATGAGAATGAAAATGCACACACAAATATACATATCGTTATTTGTCCCAAAAAGAAATACAGGTAAGAAAAATTAGAAATTAAGAGAGAGATGGAAGGAAAACTTGAAGTTTTTGTAATTTGATATTTGAGCTATGTAAATGTGTTACATACTAAAAAAATACTAAATCAAAATGGATACAAAAATAAACTGAAAATTGATGGCAGAGTATGTATTAGATTGATAACAAAAACATTCAGCGAAAAGAATTAAATCAAGCAGCTTCTAAACACAATATTTCAACTGTATACACTTGATGATATATATATTCAAACTACACACCCACACCCCCATACACGTGCATGTATATTCAAAGAAAGAACAAAAGTTTACTTAGTAGGTTAGATGCCAGTAATGGTATTACAACTCTTACACTTCAGTGTGAGGCAATTGAGCATACTTACTTATGGGAAAAGAGTTTTGTTACTATGGGAGAAGGGAGATACAAATTACAGAAGAGGGGAAAGGTGAAGAAGAACCCTGTGCCTGGAGTCACTTTTCAAGTATAAACATAAAGACATGTCCTAGGAAATTCCCCAGAATGCAATCAGGAAGATGAACAAGTTGAAAGTATAAGTAAAATGGCAAATGAGAGAATGACTAGGAAGTGCTTTATAAAGTACGATTGCTTTGCCCAAGAAATAGTGTTTCATTTATTATGAGAATCTTCTTTGGCAACAGGATAACAGACTCAGCTGATGTGAACATCTTTGCTATTCTAAATGCAAAGAGATGCTAGATTAGATATGACCCCAAAAAGCCAAAATTGAAAAAAGGGAAATCCATAGGTAACTGAAACAGAGAAAACTTAAAGCCAGAGTTATAATCTCACACCTGTGACCAGAAGGGTCTTAGAACGAGTTCAAGAGCCCTAGGTTAGAGGTTTTTATGTAGGAAGATGGCATTGGGACCCACAAGGCAGAAAATTAAAATTAATACCCTTCATAACAGTATATTTTAGAAAAGCTGCCTCCTCCTGGAAAAGGAGTAAGGAAAATTCCTATCAGCAAAGGGAAATGCTAAAAACAGTCATTGATCTAAGCTCGGGGTAGAGCACCAAGTTTTTTTTCTATGAGAAATCAAATATTGAGACATGTGCCATGCTTGTGGATGTTCCAATTTATACATTTCACCTGGTACAGAAATCCAAGCTCATAAATCCATACAAAAATTAATGCTGGCAGAGGTAAATACAAAATGGCTGGGTAGACTTCCACACTCACAAAACACCTCCCCCTAAGAAAACAAAAAACTTAAAGAAAGTGAAAAACAGGAAAATCAACATTCTGAGAACTGAAATAGAAAAATATATAATAGGGTTCTATAAATACAATTAAAAGCTTTGAAAGGAAAAGTAGAAACAATAAAGAACAAGATATTATGAAAAATAATATGCAATTGTGGAAAAGGAACAAATAGAACTTCCAGAAATTAATATTTTAGTCTTCAAAATTATAAATTAAATGCATGTGTTAAACAGCAAATTTCACTAAAGAGAAAGATGGTAAACTGTAAAAGAGATCTGAGGAATTAACTCAGACTACCATCAGAGAGATTAAGAAATTTAAAATATGAAATTAAGCCAGGATACAGGAAGGAGAAGATAAGAAGGTCCAACATATGTTCAATTAAAGGGTGGTAGCAAGGCTAGAGAGAACAGAGTTGTAGACACTGATGGATGCCTACCCAATACCCACCCTCAGTTTTTTCTTACTGACAGATCTCTGACTTTGTTCTGGTATCCAATCCTCCTCCAAGTGCCTCAGTGAAAGTTGATCCTATCCTAGTTTTGAGATGAAGATCCAGATTGGTCTTAACAAATTATTGTGTTCCTTTTTTCCCTGCAATTCTGGTACACTAAACAAGAGAAGCCTGTGGGAAGAGGAGTAAAGATCCATGAGGAAAGCTGCTTTGCTCTCATAAAGATACTAGGAAGAAAAAAAAAAATCTCTCTAATGGAGCTAATGGCAAAGAAGAAAGCAATCCTGGAGCTAGGGTGGCCCATCTTGGAATCATAGAGGGTACTGAGCCAATATGCTGAACACAGCCTAGATCTTTAGGCTAATAAATTAACAAATCCTGAGGTCACCTTCCTCCTGACTTTTTTGTTATGTGACTTAATACATCTTCTAAAATTATTCTTAAAGCTGTTTTGAGTTGGGTTTCTGTTATTTGAGTTAAAGCACAGAATTTAGAGGACACAAGTCCTCAAATTGAAAGAGTATATCAAGTTCTGAAAAATAAATCACAAAAAGTCCACACTAAGATACATCATAATGAAAAAATGGCAAACACCAAGATACAGAGAAATAGTAAAAGCCAATTTGATTAGAAAGGAAAAACAATTAGATAACCAATACATTCTTCAAAGCAGAAGATGCCAGGAAACAGTGGACTAGTATTTTCAAGGTCTTAAGGAAAAAAGCAGTAGCCCCAAAGTTCTCCAATATCTTTGGGGGGGGGGCAAAAATATACTTTTGAGGCCAACTACACCTGAATGGTTACTAATGATTCCTCATTGAATTATCTACTCAAGGACACATTTCATGATGAAGGGAAGGGAATCCAGAGGTAAGGGCTGGGGAGCAAAACCCAACCGTTAGAAAAGAAATTGGTAGATAAGTAATCTAAATAAGAACTGTAAAACAAAATTTTTAAAGAGTAACCACAAATATTATGAAAATGACTAATTTGCAAGCCTTAAAAACACGATGAACCTAAAACAACAAACATAATTGATGTTCTTTCAAATTTTTAAAAATTTTTTTCAGAAGGGTAGGTACTAAGGGTTGAACTCAGGCCTCACACTTGCTAAGCAGGGGCTCCATCTCTTGAGCCTCCACCAGCCTTTTTTTTTAGGTTCTTTGACTTTCAAATAGTCTTGCTCTATGCCCAGGCCCTCCTGGGCTCTAATCCCCTGATTTATGCTCTCCAGCATAGCTGGGATGACAGGCACACCCCACTGTGCCCAGCTACTAGTTGAGATGGAGGTCTTGCTAACTTTTTTGTCTAAACTGGCCTCAAATACGATCCTCCTGATCTCTACCTTCCAAGTAGCAACTGGGATTATAGGCTTGAGTCACCACACCACGTGCTCTTTTTTATTTTTAACTGGCAATTATATGTATTTGTGAGGTACAGTATGATGTGTTTAACATATGTATATATTATGGAATGAATACATCAAGCTAATTAATATATCTGTCACCTCACATACGTTTTTTGGTAGGTGAACATTTAAAATCTACTCTTAGTCAATTTTAAAACAAACACTTCATTATTATTAACTATAATCACCACGCTGTATAATAGATCTCAAAAACTTATTCCTCCTGAACTGAATATGGAGCTCTTATAAAAGTGTGACTGGACTAGAAAGATTCCAAGCTAGATTGTCCTCAGGGCAAACACTTGGTTATCGCTGTCTTTCTAGCTCCTGCAGTGCCTGGTACATAGTAGGAAACTCAATTAATTACTTGTTGATAAATAACTTTAAAACTTTGTCACTATTAAGTGAGATGTGAGCATTAACATCATAAAGGTAACCACTAAAAGAATTAAAATATGAAGTAAAACTTCCAACCTAGGAGAGGGAACAATAGGATAAAGTACTACTTCACTCTCCAGTGGGCCTTATTAGTGTACAACAGTGAGCTGCAGAATGGGGGAGCCCAGGGTTGACTGTAATCCTTGAGGTCTCCTGGTCCTACCTTCCCCAGGAGGCTGAGGGGGAATGTAGGCCAAAGAGCTGCCTACCCAGAGAAATTCAAAATTCCAGTCTCTGCAAGGAGGCCTGGCTCAGGGAGGCACAAGCAAATCCTCAGGGCTGTATTTTTAAAGAACACAGGAGGGGATTTGGAAGGCCCCAGTGAGTACAAGCTTCCTGGCAGGCAGCCAGCTTACCCAGGGTCTAACAAGCCAGGGCCCATTGAATGTAAGCAAATTCCAGTAATGACTCACATTTTCATTCTCCTAGGCAGCTCTGTTGCCAGACACAAAGGTGTTTCAGAACTCCCACACTCCTACACTCTGCCCGGACCAGACCAATCCACGTCCTGCTGCTCCTCTGAGAAACAGCTAGACACAAGTGAGGTTTTAATCAATGTAGCAGAAATTATAGCAGAGAGAGAGAGAGAGAGAGAGAGAGAGAGAGAGAGAGAGAGCTAGCTAGCCCACTCAGGCCACCAGGAAGCTGCACACACACTCATTATCTTCACCACCACAGTTCAATGTATGACAATTGCTTCTCTTTGGGAATTGCCTTCAGTTTTTTCATACATTCCCAAAGAATGACTCAGACTCCTGGCAATAGCTTCAAGTAATTCAAAGCCAAATCTTGTCACTCAAGAGGGTGATTGATAGCTATTTTGGGTTACAAAACAAAACAACACTATAGAATTTGGAAACAGCTATCTATTGTGTCTCATAAACTGGTTTGCAAGGTGATTCCCAAGCACCAATTCCAGGAAATCCATAAGTTATGACAGAGCTACTACTCTGGAAGAGTAACTGTAAATTTGGAATCACCTCACATTCTTCCCTAGAATTCTGATTTTTGACTAGCTTCCAGTGGACTGCTTTTCACACTCACATCACTGCTGCCTGAATTTGTCAGTAAGACCAGGGCTAAGTACAGATTCTGAAGCCAAATTGCCTGGCTCCTTTAGCTACAAATATCTAAGTAAATTCATTGACTTCTGTTTCCTTGCCTACAAAATGAATATCTTCCACATAGAGACATTATGAGGACTGAGTTTATTTGTGTCCAGTACCTAGAATACTTCATTTGTATCACAGAGGGGCCTTCACTGCATTTGAAGTTTACTGAGATAGACTAACCCACCATGAAGCTGTAGTCTGGGAGAATAGAAGCCTGGGTTTGCAGCAGCTGGCTATCTTTGATACCATGTAGAGAGGGCTTACCAGCAAATAAAGCTGAGAGAATGAGAGTGCACGGTGCGTTAGGGAAGGTGGGGTGTGGGGGGCAGGATGCAGTTAACCTATCCACAAACACTGACAGAAGATTCTGAATCTTCTTGGTCTTCTCACCTACATAAGCCAGATCATTTCCTCCTCATTTATGCTAATTTTGCTGGGTTTCTATTACTTGCAACTTAAAGAATCCTGCTAATATTCTGATACATCATGATCTGCATACAACATGCCAAGACTCCACCTCTGCCAAGTTTAGGCCATCTTCTCAGGCACAGATCTGCTATCTCGGCTTCTTTCTTGAAACTCCTTCCTCTTCTTGCCATGGACCTTGCCACGGATCCCTGGGCCCTAGCATCGTGGAACCCCCTCATATGAAAGCACAAGGAGGCTGTTCTCCCTCTGAGTTCAGTGTCTTTGGGGTCAGAAGATCTGTGTCCCAGTCCATAAGCACTGTGAGGAAAAGGATACCTCCCCCACCTCCACAATGCCTTTTATAAATAGGGCCATCAAAGGGACAGCCTGAGAGCCTGGGTTAGGTGAGTATTGTGAAGAGGTGGTGGTCAGATGGAGGCAGGACTTCTGACTTGTCTCTAACCAGGGACCACTGGACAAGACAAGACAAAACACACCTGTCCTCTCCAGAATTCAGCTCTAGAGAAAACAACTCCTTTTTGAATAAAGTTCTCTTCTGACATGTTTCAGTATGCCTGAGCAAGCCAGTGGTTCATTTCCTCCTGCATTTTCCTGGAGCTAGAGTCTTGTACCTCTTGGAGCAGACTATCCCATTTCATTTGCAACACACATGTCCGACAATCCATTTTCAGGAAGAGCTGACCAGCCTGAAAAGGTGGGACCGCAGATGGCCTCTTCTAAAGAAGTCAAATACAAACAGCTAAGTGTACGAGATGTTCAAATAAACAACCCTCCAGGTGAAGAATTATTCCAAAACAGCACTTCAAACAAGCCCTGGTGAAGTCACTGTCTGCTATTTTAGTCACACACTCAGGACCTCTTCATCTCAGCACCTCAAAGCACTATGCACATCAATCACTAGCTGGGGTGGGGGGGGTGGAGTTGTAAGGAAGGTTCTAATAATCACCTTGTTTTTCATTTAAGGTAACTGAAATGAAAAGCATGAATCCCCACCCCATCCCACACACAAACCGGGCCACACAACTTGTTGAGAGCCAAAGAGAGATCACAGGATCCCTGGGTCTCCACTCCTACGTGTGTAGAGCCAGGAGCCAGTGCTCCCTCCCTGTACTCCATCTATCCTTCTTGGCACTCACAAGAAAGTTCTCCCAAATATGGAAGCTGCAGGGAATTGGCCTCTGCAAGCCCAGACAGATGTGCCCACCCAGCCATGCCAGAGTCACATGCAATGTACAGTGCCTTGTTCTTCTCCCCACTAGTGCCTAGTCGTGTGTCTGTATTCAAAGCCCCTCACTGAATGTGGGGAGCATCAAGGAAAGATCCCTTTCTTAATTCTTAACTTGCAGGTGAAGAAACTTGGCTTTGGCACTCTGCATACATATACTATCAACTTGACTTCACAGCCTTCTTCTGTGACTGGGGCTATAACTGTCCACTGTTTGGCCTTCCTTCACTGACTACAACCCGGTCCACAAGAGCCTACGCAGTTAGTCTGTTAAGTACCTTTCCAAGTCCAAGCTTTTGGCTCCTCAGAATAGACATTCCCAAGACTCAGTAAGAATTGAGTCCATTCTTTTCTCTCTCAACCCTTGAGAACCTTACCCATTTCCAGATTTTGCTTTTTATTTATTTTTTTTTCAGGTGTTCAATATACATTTACTGAGAGATAATCAGTCAAATGGTTTAATCACAGGATTTTGTATAGAAGTTCTAAGGACATTTGCATTATTTATTACAGTTTACCAAGACCTTTCCCATGCATTGTATTTCTTAATTCTACATGCTAGTTATTATCATCTCCACCTTTCATATTAGTAAATCAAGGATCAGAGAAATTAAGTAACTTAAAACCTCGGACAGCAAGAAAATGCGAGCTAGCATTCACACCCAGGTGTTTTTAACTAATAATCATCAGTATTTGCAAAACACTGGGTAATACATGACATACTTTTAGACACCTCATCTCATCTTCTGAATAATGTTTCCTTTGTTTCAGCCCTTTTTATTATTACAAAATAATGGATTTCATTGTGACATTTTTATATGTGCATATAATGTACTTTGACCATATTCGTGCACCCCTTTACTCTCTCTTGTATCTCCCTTTCCTCCTTCCCCTAGTCCCCTTCATCTTTCCTCATACTCCTCCTACTACTATGTTCATGTCTTTTTTTTTTTTTGGTGGGACTCAGGTTTGAAGTCAGGGTTTCCCACATGCAAAACAAGCGCTCTACTGTTTGAGCCACACCTTCTTTCACATCTTTTTTTCCCTAGATTCCACACATGCTGAACAGTGTTTAGAGGTTGGTGTGTTAGTCACCCTTCAATTGCTGTAATAAATACTTAAAATATCAACTCAATAAAGGAAAAGGTCTATTTTGGCTCATGGTTTCAGAGGTTGCTCAGCCCTGTTGCTTTGAGTACATCACAGCAACAGTGTGTGGTAGAAGAGGCCTATTTACCTCATTGTGGCCAGCAGGCAAAGAGAGAAAGAGACAGGAAGGAATCAGGATCCCAATATCCCCAATCATCTAACTTACCTTCCGCCAGGATCCTCCCACTAAAAACCCCATCTCTCAATGCTACCACAATCGGGGTACCAAACCTTCAAAATATGGGGCTTTGGGGGACACATCCAAACCACAGTGTGGGGTTACTCCTCTCCCTCACACTAGAGAGGCTATTTAACATAGTAGTCAAGAGCACAAACTCTGGAACTGGAGGACCAGGGTTTAAATCCAAGTTCCACTACTTACTAGCTCTGTAACCTTAATATGTTACTTAACCTCTCTGGCCATCAGTCTCTCCATCTGTAAAATAGGGATAATAGAAGTATCTACCTCATAGGATTGGTGGAAGGAGTCAATGAATTAATATTTGTACAGCAGTTAAAATAGTGCTTGGTATCATATAAGTACCTGTTAAATAAGTAAAATAAGAGAAAGGGCTTAGGAAGGCTTAGTGACTAGTTCAAGAGAACAGTAGGCATTAGTTCTACAACTTTGTCCTATGGCTATACATCTATTATCTATCTTCAATCCATCCATTCTCCAAAGACTACATTCCAGACTTCTTACCCACCAACCCCTTCATGGACCCTCTGCTCCAGCTAGCTGTGCTATGGGCTTCTATTTCGAATCTGCTTTTGCATATACTTCTCATCTGCTTAGAATATTCTTCCTGTTGCTGGAATGAATAAGTAAAGATTTAATAAGTCTAAAAATATTTTGTTGATCTATGGTCTAACACTTCATTGAAACAGAGAAAGAAAAAAGTAATAAATGGGGGAAGGAGGAGACTGAGGCTTAGGACAACACTGAAATATACCAAGTCATGACAGTGGATTTAGCAATGACTTCTCAGATATGACATCAAAGGCAACAAAAAGGAAAAACAGAAAAACTGGACTTTGTGAAAAATTTTAAGCTCTATATATCCAAAGGTACAACCAGCAGAGTAAAAAGTCATCACACAGAATGGAAGAAAATACCTGTGAATTATATATCTGATAAGGGATTCATAGTCGGTATCCTAAAACCCAACAACAAAAACACAAGAAACCCAACTGAAAAATAAGCAAGGACTTGAATAAATATTTCTCCAAAGAAGATATACAAACAGCCCATAAGCACATTCATGGATACTCAGCATCACTAATAACTTTCAGAAATGCACATCAAAACCACAATAAGATTCTTTCTCCCACCCATTAGAATGGCTATTATAAAAAAAAAAAATCAAAGCAAACCAAACAACAGAAAAAATAAGTGCTGGTGAGGATGTGAAGAAAAAGAAATTATACCCTTACTGTAAAGTAGGATAGCCACTGTGGAAAATAGGGCAGTTCCTGAAAAAATAGCAGGATTACCCTATGAGCCAGCAGTTTCACTTTTGTAGGTACATCCAAAAGAACGGAAAGCAGGGTCTCAAAGAGATATTTGCATATCCATGTATGTAATAGCATTATTCACAACTGCGAAAATGTGGGAGCAACCCCAGAGCCCAAAGACAGGTGAATGGATTCGTAAAATATGACATATGCATACAATGTTTTATATATTCTTAAAAAGACAGGAAATTTTGATATATGCTACAATACACATAAATCTTGAGAACACTTTGAAAAGCCAGTCACAAAAAAATTATTTTGTGATTCCACTTCAAAATGGTCAAAATCAGGTGTTAGTGGCACACATCTTAGCACTTGGGAGGCAGAGACAGGAGAATCTTGAGTTTGAGGCCACCTAGATTACATAGTGAGGCGAGAGAGAGAGAAAGAGGAAGAGAGAATTAAAAAAATGTAAAGACAGAGAGCAGAATGGTGTTTTTCCAGGGGCTAGAAAAGAGACAATTCTTGTTTAAATGGTGCAAAGTTTCAGTTTTGTAAAATGAAGAGATCTGAGGCTGCCTGTGATGATGGTTACAAAACAGGAATGTACTTAATACCACTGTAATGTATGCTTAAAAATGGTTCCATGGTAAATTTTATGTTTTGTGTATATCACAATAAAAAATGTGAAAAACAATCAGAACATCTTTTTAACTTCCCTCCTCCACAGTGTGAGAAGTCATGAACTAAAGGAAGCCATAGCTGCAGCTTCTCATCTCTCCTGAGATGAGAAGAACCTTAGAGAACATCTAAGAAACCGAGACCACGTCTGGCACGAGTGGCTCTTCACAAGGGACTGCCCAGGGGCTGGAGGTGTGGCTCAAGTAGGAGAGCACCTGCCTTGCAAGTGCAAAGCCCTGTGTACAAACCCAGGTACCGGGGGAGGTGGGGGAGGAAACGAAGGGACTGTTTAGCAGTGACATAAAGACGGTGCCCACCTCAGCGGGTGGAATGACTCCCCAGGTTACATGGTAAAACAAAACGCAATTTTTGAACAATTTCTGTTTGTGGTTTTTGTTGTAACCTGTTGGACAATGTGGGGAAAACTCAGTCCTGAGCAAAGTTGGACTTTGAACAACAGATTGTCGGGAATTTTTAAAAAGGGCAGCTGGCCTCTCTCCCAGACCCCGCCAGCAGTAGTAAAAGCTGCCTTCACTTCTCACCTCTCCCATGTTTCCAGTCAACACAGATAGATGAGGGTCCATCTCAGCCATTCCCAAACCTACAACTAGTCAAGTGAGTTCGTGATGAAGACACTCACCCAGGGAAGAGCGGTGAATCCCAAGAGGAAGTGATTTAGGGAAATGGAAGGAAGGACAGGCACCTGAAAGCAGAGCAAGACCCCACTATGAAGTAATTTTTCCAGCTACACACAAGGCAGCCATCTTTCCTCTGACAGGCTACTGGACACTCCACCCTGGACCATGTGGCTCCCTAGTGGAGAAGAGCAAAGATGCCAGCTTTTCCAAAGCCGGCTCAAGAAGCCTCTACAGACACTGGCTCATGGCCATCCTGCCTGGATTTGGAATCCCAGCAGAGCCCAAAGAGGAAGCTGGGTCACACCAGGTCAGCTCAGAACAAGGCCATTCCGGGTCTACCTAGTGCTGCTGCCAGAAGTGGCTCTGATGATTCAACAGGCAACAGGACCAAGAGTCTGCTTAGAGTCCCTACTCAGATGAAGTCAATGCTACTCCCTGGAGCTGAAGATTCCTGCATCCAACTGGCTACTCAGTGTCCCCACTCTCATGTCATAGGCTTCAAAAGCTTAAAATGTCC